ACCACACACACACACACACACACACACACACACACACACACACACACACATAACAAATCCTATTTTAAAGTCTGTTTGCTGCAAAATAATGCCATTAATGCTAATGCAATAAGAAAAACTCAACAACGGTTAATAATCACAACGGGGTCTGTGCCAGTGTAAGAAGCCAAGTGTGCGTGTGTGCGTGTGTGTGTGTGTGTGTAATATTAGCTATGGAAACATTGTTTGTCGCCCCTTGTGGAGGCTCTCGTGCTCGCAGAAACAAAACAAAGCTGCATTCAAGAGCCCGCCCTAGCAGGGCGGCTGGATGAGAAGACCTCTAGCTCGTAATAAAACGAATATTTTTGCATCATATATCACAGGCTTGAGGAGACATCCGTTCGGTAGCCTTAAATCGGTCCAGTCACGGTGTACAGGGTGAGAAATGCTCCCTATTGTTCCGTTTTCCCCCCTCTGTGCGGGGACGTTACCCAGCGCCACAGATGTTTCATTAGGCAACAGTGCTGCGCGAGCTGCTGATGCCCACTTCCTGAATTCACAGCAACAGGAGCCCACAAACATTGCAGCGAATCGTTTTTCTGTCGATAAGTAGCAGAGAAGCTCCGGTCGGAACCCCAGCACCGTCGGCTCGGTTTGAGGGGTGTCGCCGCTCCGCTGCCATGGTGGAGACTCCAGCCGGCTGTCTGTTTGAAGACATCCAGTATGAAGACATCCAAGTTGAAACGGTAAACTCACTGAGCTACAGCAGAGGGCATTAACGTTAGTTGGCTCTGCGGTGCCGAGGGGAAATGTCCCGGTACTAGCAGCTACAATAAAACAGCGTAGGCTACTGTTTGTGTTCAACACTTGGGTAACAGACAGGCAGGCAGACATGCTATTTTAACGGACTGAGCTTTAACGTGAAATACAGAGACAGGCGAACACACTTGTGAGCAGACCTATAACCATGACAGAATCCGCTTTTAAACCCCGCAAAACCGTTTTAACAAGCAGAGCAAGGCCTCAGCTCAGCCTCCAGTGCAACAGAACAGTCGAGATATGTGTTCTGGATAAACTCAGTGTAGACTTCTTTAAGTGCAGCAGAGAAAAGGGAAAGCTTAAAGGGAAGAAACGTGAGAGCAGTTAACCCTTGCATCATGCTCACATGTTGGACACTTATGTTATGCTCGGTTCAAGTTAACATGGTATAGTTTATGGGCTTTAAAAGGAAACCCTAACCTATATTGTCTTTACCTCATTTCCTAGCGATATAGATTATATATCTGATCAACACTTGCAAATACTTGCAAAAAAACAGGCTTATTGCCTAGTAGGTCAACACATACGAGGATTAGTCCTTTGTTTATGATGCAAACATAAACACAGTCAAATAAGATGTATTGTAAGAAAATGGCCAACCAAATACAATTATTATAAAAAAAGATTTAAAGAAAGAAATCTATTATAACGTTAAAATAAAGCAATATTTACATGAAATATAGATTTATCTGTACAATTTAAACACAATAAAATATGTGTGACAACGTCATCATTTATGTAAAACGATGAGACCAGATTCATGCTTATCTAGGAACAAATATAAATGAAACATTTTTTTAATAATGATCATTTTGCCACTTGGTTTTCACCTTTATCTCACTATCATCAGGAACATACGGGTGAAACGTGAATGGATACACACACAGAAAACTTGTATCTAACAGTCTTTGGCTATGAAATACACCTCTTTAAGAATCATTTTGCATGTTTATCCTTTTTATTTTATTTTACATATTTACTCAATTAAATGAAAAAAAATCCTTATATTATTATTTTTTGTGTAAAAAAGGAACACTGGTCAATTTGACCTAACCACACAAGGTTTAAACCCCTTCTTCTGATGTGGTGTAAAAAGTACTCAGGATCTTGTATCAGTATATCAGTATGTAGTGTCTCTACTTTAAAGAGTCCTCTCCTGCTGATGTTCAGGTGTATATCAGTATGTAGTGTCTCTACTTTAAAAAGTCCTCTGCTGCTGATGTTCAGGTGTATATCAGTATGTAGTGTCTCTACTTTAAAGAGTCCTCTCCTGCTGATGTTCAGGTGTATATCAGTATGTAGTGTCTCTACTTTAAAGAGTCCTCTCCTGAACTCTTGATAAATGTTGCTGTTGTTTGTTCTCTCTGATGTTTCTGAATCAGAAGCCCCTCAGGATTTCACCTGCTCATGTTTCACTTCACATTTCTTTATTGTGCCTCATATTTTTCATGCAATAACTTTGAAATAACAAGCAGAGGAGAGACACAGGAACCAAAGCCCTACTGTGTAAATGAATGCTACGCTACAAACTGTGTGTTGCTGTTATTCCTGTGCTGACTGGGCTCTAATTGAGACGGTGTTACATTTTTTAGGGTGGATGTTTTTGCATCTCAGGCTAAAAGGCAAGTCCTGGAAACATCCTGGAAGTTTTGATTCCTTTCTTCTCTCTCTCTTTGTCTGAAAGTGTTTAAAAAATCCTACAAGGTGGAAGAATTGCCCCCTCATCTGAATGGATTCATAATGTGAAATATAATCCATATATGCCACACCCGCAAAATGTATGCTCTGATTTAATTTAAGTAGACTAATATAAAATAAAATTGTCTACAATAAGAATACATGGAATACAACATACAAGGAATTTGCTTTGGTACATAAGATAAGATAAGATGAACCTTTATTAATCCCGAGGGGAAATTCAGTTGTAGAAAGCAGCAAGAGGGTAAGCGTGAAAAAACAGGACAGCAAAGATTCACAAAGATTAATAAAATCAAAAATCAAGAAAATCAAGAAAAAAAAATNTTTGCCACTTCCCTTCGGCTTTATTGAGCTTTTTAGCTAATTGTTAGGCTGTCAAAGCCACAGCTTTACTGTTTGGTTCACTTTAACTGCTCTATTAGCATCGTTCACAGTTAAGAAGCTCTATAAACTAATGGTACACCACACGCTCAGCAGCAAACAACAAACAGACCCAATTATGGTGAACACAGTGGAGCATTTTAGCAACTTAAAGGGGACCTATCATGCTATATTTAAATAATATATTGTAGGGCCATACCTATGTAAGGTATATTTATAAGTTTTATTTTTCAAAATACCAAACAGATCATGCATTTTAGCCATGCCCCATTTTGCCTCACTCCAGCTCTGTCTTTGCATGAGCTGGAGCTGACACCCCCCCCCTCCTGCAAAGGAGGGGGCGAGGCACAAGCGTCATGTTAATATGCTGTTGCCATGCTGTTGCTATGCTGTTGCCATGCCACGGCAACCTCTCATTGCCTTGATAGGTGGAGAGTTGACCATACAGGTGGAGTGCACCTCTGTGACATCATAGAGGTGCAAATCAGAATCCACATGTATCAAATCCGTTGCAGCCCTGTTTTTAGAGATTTGGGTATGGAGGAAAAGAGAGAGGGTTGTATGTTCTGACACTTGGTGAGTTCCCTGGAACACCGGGGACACATATTCATGTATAAAAGACGTAAAAAAGTGCATTTTGCATGATAGGTCCCCTTTAAGGTAGTATGTGACATATAAATGGTCAAAAATGGTACATTCTCCATTAGCTCACGAGCTCCATGTTCAAGCGATCGACTATTCCTTCGCAATGTAGCATCACATTGGATATGCACTTAAGTTGCCCTAGATTATAATTTTTCCGATCATTTCCCTATGACGAATTAGCACAAATGTGCTTAAAATGCATGAAAAACGCACATTTTTCAAAATGGCCGACTTTCTGGGGGGCGGGGCTAATGGAAGGCAATTTGAAATATGTGTGCAATCATAATAGTAATGTATATACAGCGTTTCGTGAATATCGGAAAAACTATATGCGAGCGGTTTGGAGCAATTTGCGCCATGTAAATCGTCAAAAATGGTGTATTCGCTGTTAGCTTACGACCTCCACGAGTGATTTTTCCAAAATGTGCTCCGCAATTAAGTATCATATTGGATAGGGGCTGAACTTGTCCTGCATTTGAATTTTTCCGATCATTCCCCTAGGAGGAGTTCGCAAGAATGTGCTTAAAATGCATGAAAAACGCACATCTTTCAAAATGGTCAACTTTCTGGGGGGCGGGGCTAATGGAAGGCAATTTGAAATATGTGTGCAATCATAATAGTAATGTAGATATAGTGTTTCGTGAATATTGGAACAACTGTATTTGAGTAATTTGGAGTAGTTTGGAGTCATTTGCGACATGTAAATCGTCAAAAATGGTTTATTCGCTGTTAGCTTACGACCTCCACGATTGAGCTATCAAAAATGTTCTTCTCAATTTGGCATCATATTGGATAGGGGCTGAACTTGTCCTGGATTGGAATTTTTCCGATCATTCCCCTACGAGGAGTCCGCAGAAATGTCCTTAAAATGCATGAAAAACGCACATATTTCAAAATGGCCGACTTTTGGGGGGCGGGGCTAATGGAATCTATTTACAAATATGTCCGCAATTCCATGAGGAATGTCTGTGCCAAAAATCGTGAAGTTCTAAGAAACTATATGTGACTACCACACAATAGGCTAGTGAGCAGCTTTTTTGAAAATTACGTTTTTTTTTTACATTCTCGAAAAGGTTGTGGGCTCTGACGTGTGTCCCAAGTTTTGCGTCCGAAGCTCATTTTATGCTATCGCAATTTAAAAAAAAATGTATAGGCCACGCCCACATTCTGAATTTTTTGCGACACTTTAAATCTGAGTTCGTAGTCACCCTGAGAGTATGTCTAAAAAAAAAAATAATAATTAGTCCATCCGCTCTTGAGTTATAAATTGGTGGTGTTTTTGGCCCCCCCTATAGTCCAAAATGAAAATGCTTTGGTGTGCCTATTCCCCAAGACAGTTTGAACCTATCTACCAAAATCTGTGATGTTTGGATACATTGTTGATGAGTTATGAGCATTTATTTCTAAGCCCCGCCTTTTTGCGAGAACGTTTTGATTGACGGTGGCAATATTTATCGTCCTAACATGCTCATTTTCTACGGTAATGTGTCTGACCCTCCACCGATGCTGGATATGAAGTTTGGTGTTGAAAAACTGAAAATTGAAATTTAAGTCAATATTTAACTGTTTTGAACATTATGCTAATTTAGAAGAAAAAAAATGTAGGCGGAGCTTAGGGTTCCAAGAGGATTATTTGTAGAGCAGGTCCACCCGGATATGTGTGCAAAATTTCAGGTCATTTGGAGTTACGGTGCGACTTTGTAAATGTATTCCGAAATGGGATTTTGATAGGTGGCGCTAGTGAGCAGGTTGGAATATCAACCCATTGACTCCAGAATATTGAATTTTTTACTGGTCCTGGCATCCGTGCAAAATTATACAACTTTTTAAGCATCCTAAAGACCTCAAAAAGGAAACGCCAGTACGATAATAATAATACCACCAATAACAATAGGTTCCTCGCACTTCGTGCTAGGACGCCGTTGGGTCCTAGCGCTCCGTGCTCGGGCCCTAACAAAGCAGTAAATCATGTATATACATATACAGTATAATACAGACACTATCCACAGTCAATATGAATATACCATAGACCGTTATTGACATTTTATATTATTTGAGGTCACTCATCAAATTCAGTCAGTCACGTGGACACAATATATAGATGTAAGAATATCTAATGTTGTGTTCCATTCCTTTTTCTACTGGCCATGTGCACTTACACATTACTGTACTCTCCTAAATTGTTCTCAAATTTGGCTCATCAGTACTTCTACAAAGTTGCCACACAAATATGGTCCATCAATCATTGATAGAAGCTGGAGCGACACACGTTCTGTTCTGCTGTCTCTTCTGGAAGGAGCAGACAGAAGTGCTTCCCTCGGCATTGCACTCGCTCAAAGTTGTAATGATTTCATCTTTGACCTCCATTGCAAGCTGACCTTCTAAAGAAAAAACAATGATATAAGAGCTATTCGAAAGGGCACAGAAAAGCAGGGTAGGTAACCATAGCAACAAAACAAACTAGGTCTTCTTGCCGTGAAGCTCTGCGCAAAACCTTGTGATTGAGCAAAAGCAAGTCTCTGTCACGTAGTGCAGCTATTCTCACACAAACAGAGCGCTGCTGCCAAATGGGGCCCCCTTTCTGACCGTATCTGGGTTATGGCAGCATTAGAACATGAAAGGAGGTATTTCAGGTGTAATCCATAAACAACATCTCCTGAAATGTACATTTCAGCCAATTATTTTCAACACGTATTATACAAGGCAACTAGCATATAGAACTTCAAATACAATATAATAGTGGACAGCAATCTGACAGCAGTGTGTATTACAAACTTCAGAAACAATGGGGTGTAAAGCTATGATTTACCTATGTTTATGATACGGTGAGTGAAGCAGGTAGGACCCAAACGCAGATAACATTTGATAATACCTTTATTTCAAGGTCTAGAGTAAACTTGGAACAAACAAAACACTCTCCGGTGAACTAAGTCACGAACAAAAGAAGCACCAACACTGAACACAGGGAGGGGTAATCACAAGACGAGAAACAGCCGGGCAGGGGAGGAGAAACACAAGGGCCACAAGTGAACACAATCAAAGAACTAGACACACCAGGGAAACTAACGACGGGAGGAAAAACACAGGGAAAAGGACCAGACAATAACCCAGGAGAAAAACATGACAGCAAAACCCAAACATACAAAATTACCAACGTGACATAACTTAGGAGTGTGACAGTTTACATATATAATGACGTGGTCATTTAAAGATGTGAATCTGTTCATCACCTTCTTCTTTCCCCATGGTTTATCAGAATCAGAATTCCTTTTTAAGTCCCACAGCGGGGAACTTTACAAAGTCACTGCACAAGTGGCATAACAGGTAAAGTATGAAATAATACAAAAGAAAAGCAGACATTAGTAATACAATTAAAATAAAGACAATTATGTACACAACCATGGCCAAAACATGAGTAGCAGCACATTAAGTAAAACTAAGTGACATACAAAAAGCATATTAAAGTATTGCAGCCTTAAAATAAAAGAGTTTTGGGACATTTATGAAAAGATGTATTTGTTTACATAAAGTGATTTTAGTACAATTGCAAATAAGTGTTTATATTGCACATTGCAGGTTTATTGCACACGAGTGCACAGTCGACTGTGGACAAATGAATACTGAGATGAACTATGGTATAGTTTGGTAAACGGCTGTCAGCTCAGCTCAGTGTGCTGGCTTCAGTTTACGGCTCAAACCAAACATGTTGGTGCAGCCCTTCAAACAGATGAGGGTCGGGGGCTCACACTGTGTTCCTGTGTTGCAGGCTACCTACAGGAGGCCTACCTGTGGACCAAGCAGGTGCTGTCCATCATGGAGAAGTCCATGGTGCTGCTGCAGGACGTGACGGACGGCTCCCTGTATGAGGGCGTGGCCTACGGGACCTACACCACCCGCTCCCTGTTCCAGTACATGTTTCTGGTGCAGCGCCACTTCTCCATCAGCCACTTCGACCACCCCTGGCTGCTGCAGCACTTCGCCTTCCTGTACCGAACCGTCCTGCCAGGTAAACGTCCCATCGTTTCACTTCATGTCATTGTTGTTATTTCAACTCATACTATTACTACAGGTTTGTTCTTATTTTTCCTTATTTTATATGTATTCTTATTATGTGTTTCTATTAAAGTCAACATTTCCGTTTTTATAGTGTATCTTATTTTATCATCCAAGCGTCCTTGCGTATATGAAAGGCGCTATATAAATTAAAGTAATTATTATTGTTATTATTATCATACTTTTTTAAAGGTGTTTCCCGGAAATGGATATATGAAAGGTGTCTAATGCAGATATTGGTCTGGAGGTCAGGGGAAGGGCAGCAGCAGAGGAGGGGCTGCAGGTCAGGCTCTGACATTTCACAGCCCCCGCCAACACTTCCTGTAGCTTTCTACAGCTTTCCTCCTCCTTCCTGTCTGCCTCTGTGCTATCTACTGTCCAATCATGCCCCATAAACATATCAGTCTAAGACACACACACACACAAACACACACACACACACACACACACACACACACACACACACACACACACACACACCTTCCAACCTCTTGTGTGTGTGCATTAAAAATCAGAGCTCCAAGACAGGATTCAATGTCAGCGCCACTTTTCACTTGGTCATAAGATAAGATACACTTTGTTGATCCCAATTTGGGATTTTTTTTGTCAAGTAGGCCTCCATTCCTGGAATAAATATCCTGATGATGTGTTCAGTGTCCAGCCACGCTCACAGGGATGCTGCTCCAGGGTTTCTGTTTATGATTGTTTGTCCTGGCAAATGATTGACTGTGATTACATGCTGAAGTTCTATAGCTGGTTTCTAAGAACCCTCTCAGCAGAGTGAGATAGCAGAGTGAGATAACTAACATAATTACAGACAACAAGTCAGTGCCAACAATCTGCGCTGGGCTGTGGACTGAGCCGGGTCACAGCACAGGGGGCTGAGGTTCATGCTGGGGAGCATCTTTGTAACATATCTGTGACTTCAGGGAAAATTATTTGTGCTGAGCTCTGTGTGGTAGTTTGTTGGAATTGACAAAGATTCCACACATTCATCACACATTCATCTCTTCCTGCCTTGTCTGCACCGCACATTTCAGCATCAGTCATACATGAGTATTTTATTTGTCTTTTTGTCCACCAATAAAGTTTCCCCTGTGTTTTCACCAGGATTTCAGCGGACGGTGGCCATTGCAGATTCTAACTACAACTGGTTCTACGGGCCAGAGAGCCAGCTGGTCTTCTTGGACCGCTATGTGTTGCGTAACGGCAGTGGGAACTGGCTGGCAGATCTGATCCATCAGAACAGGGTGATGGAGGGGCCGGGGCAGGCGGGGAAAGGCCAGCGATGGTGTACCCTCCACACAGAGTTCATCTGGTGAGACGCTCCACTTGGTTTCATTCAAGGAAATACAATTTTTATCTTCAGAATCAGAATTCCTTTATTTGGAAATGTACGGTATTACAACAGCAAGATTATAGTGCAGATTCATTAGAGTAGACTTACACATTACATAAAGAGAGAGTAGAAAGAATCCGAAAGATCTGAATCAGAAACAGGTTTATGGAGTATGGTAAAGAAATTAAGTAGCAGTATATTTTAAAAGACCATATAGAAATGTAGAAGTAGCTGTTACTATTTACAGATTGAAAAATAAATTGAAATAAATATTAAGCGTAAATTGCAATGGAGTCTATATTGAGTTGATATTACTCAAAGGCTTACGTTTACAGGCAGAGTTATTGCACATCAGGGGTATAACATTGGGGAAATGCACTCAAAAACTACTCGATAGGCCAATTGGGATTAGGGTTCTTGTATTTTGAGAGAAATATCAACTACAATGTATGTACAGCAGCATTTCCGCCAGGGGGGCGTCTTGCCGTTATTTGACTATATATATTCAGCTCGGGACGCACTGAACTCAAGCCAAGGGCGTCCAAAAATATTAATAATTCGAGAGAAGATCGAAAGTTTTTATCGCTTGAAATGAAGAAAAGGAAAAAGGACAAGGACATCCCTCTGTTGGAGGGGCAAAGGAGTCTGGTGGGATTATTTTCGGAGTATTGCAGATCGTTTCCCCGACATCGGCGGTGCCTGCTACTGGACAACACGGAGCGTGCACGATTTGGACGCGATGAGCGGTGCTAATGGAGCACGTGCGTGAGCTGCGAGCCTCGCAGCGGCGAAAACTGAGGCTCCAGGTAAACTGTGGTAATATAAAGAGCCGTGTGCGAGCCGTGCGGGATCCGCGTGGGAGCCGGCGCTTTAAGAGAGCCGAGCCAAATGATCCGGCCCACTAACGTAAAAAGACAGTATCTATAAGGGACGGCTCAAGTCCCTTATAGATACCCGCTCTCGGGGTGGACGCCCTCTACGCCCTCTCAGCCCTGGTCTGGCGGAAACACTGATGTACAGTATTCGAACATCTCACTGTCAGCAGCTTTTGATTGATGTCTTTATTGGTTCTTCACCCCTCTGACATCCGTCCTCTCTTGTAATTGCAGGTATGATCCAGGACTGTTTCCGAAGCCTCCATCAGATTTCGGAACATCTCAACTTCACCACTTTGAGGACTGGGGGGTGGTGACGTATGGCAGCGCTCTACCTGCAGACACCAACCGCACCTTTCTGTCCTTCAAGGCTGGGAAGCTGGGGGGGCGGGCCATCTTCGACATCGTTCACAAGAACAAGTACAAGGAGTGGATCAAAGGGTGGAGGAACTTTAACGCTGGCCACGAGCACCCTGATCAGAACACTTTCACCTTTGTGCCCAACGGGGTCCCGTTCATCACAGAGGCTCTGTATGGACCCAAGTACACTCTGCTGAACAACGCGCTCTTGTTCAGCTCTGCTATCCCAGGGAGCTGCTTCAAGCCGTGGGCTGGACAGGTGACAGAGGCCTGCGACTCCAAGTGGTTGAAGTACAAGGTGGGGCTGGCGGCGGATGCCCAGGGCAGAGTGGAGGCTGCCATGGAGAGGCAGGGCATGGTCTTCATCCGAGGGGAGGGACATTCCTCTTACAGTCCCGAGCTGAAGCTCAGGAACTTCCAGAGGAACCTGCTCCTTCTCCACCCACAGCTCCTGCTCCTGGTGGACCACATCCACCTGGACCCGGACAGCCCCACCAGGGCGATGAGTGCCTTCTTCCACAACACGGAGCTGCCTTTCCAGAGTACCAAGATAGATGGTGTTCATGGAGCTTTCGTATCCCACGGGGAGGATAACTACAAGATGTTCTGGATGGATGACACCGGCTACAGTAACAAAGGGGTGGTGGGTTACTGGAACTACCCTAGAGGCTACCCGTACAATGGCTCCAACTATGTGAACGTCACTATGCCATTGAGGTACCCTCACACCAGGGTTGCCTACATTTTCTATGGACCAGGCGTGGATGTACAGAGCTTCAGCCTGCGTGGCGATGACCAGAGGGTGGACATCTACCTGGCCACCAAGGAGCACACCTACACCATCTACCTGCTGACCGGAGAGGTCCCCAGCAAGCCCCTGTTCGCCATGGTGCTGGTGGACCACAAGAAGATTGTCTTCGAGAAGTCTGCGGCGGCTGAAGAGGACAGCTCCCCTGAGGAAGTGGAGGAATACGTCAACGTGGTGGAGGACAACCTGCAGCACGTCAAGCCCGTCTTCCAGCAGATGGAGAGACACATCCTGGGACGGGTTCTCAACACCGCCAGCTTCAGAAAGACTGCAGAGCGCCTGCTCCAGTTCTCAGACAAGAAGAAGACGGAGGAGGTCATAGAGACGATGTTTGCTATGTCCAAGAAACAGGGCAGGGGGAAAGGGGGGAGGAAAGTGAACCTTGGGGAGAAGCTGTCTGAGACTCTACCTGACATTTTCGCACAGGTTGAGGTGAATGAGAAGAAGGCGAGACAGAGGACTTCAAAGCGTACATATGAGGACAGTCAAGAGGAGGGGGAGGGCGACTCGCGGGCCTTTATGGATTATACAGACGGTCGCAAAAACAGAAAGGGGGCTTTTGTCAAGGGCCGCAAATTTAAGGAGGTTCACATGGTGGCCACGGAGGGGAGCGAGGGTCTCTCCAGCACCGCCTCCTACATCCGCCTCTTCCTCCTGCTAAACACGGCCACCTTCTTCCTGCTGCTGGCCGTGCTGCTGACCCGCTTCCAGAGGGGGCGCAGTCTGCACACGCAGAGATGTTTCTACACCATCCTTCTGATCGACTGCTTCATCCTACTGTACCTCTACTCCTCCTGCTCTCACTCAAAGTGTTAACACACCACAGACCAATGACCCCATGCGGCCCCCACACCCAGTCTGAGGCAGATTTTAGAACACAAAAGGATAGTTGCCAGTATAGTGAACCCGGAAATGTTGAGGGACCCAAAGTTTTATGTTAGAAATGTATAGTAGGGGTCACAGCACATAGAAACTGCCGGATGCTCACCTGCATATGTTCCGAATCAGAAACGGCTTATTGCCAGGTAGGTTCACACGTACGAGAAATGTGACTATTTGCACCATTAGAATAAATAGCATTAATTAGCACATGCAGACAAAAGCAACAATTATTTTTTTTCTTTTAAATGGCAGTTTTGAGTCCCCTAAAACTTTAAAATCGGCCCAAAACTCATCAAAATCAGCCCACCCGGAGTACAGTTATTGCCACTTGCTGGTTAAAACTGCAATATTTGATCCTGAAAATGTCAGAAATGGATTCAACATCCTCAATAACCTCCAAAACCACTCAAACTGTCCTAGTCTGCCACCCGTGTTTATAACTTGTGTCTGCATAATATGCTAATGAACACAACTTGTGTAAATGCGTGTCTGTGCTATGAGCTGGCAAACAGACAACAATATGCAGACCACTTTTATAAAAACATATCTGAGATTTCAAGAAAGATTCTGATAATAAAAAAATTTCTATTAAAAAAGTATTTTTACAAGAAAAAAGTCCCAATTTTTGAAAGATAGCATTATAAGATGATCATTGAAACCCTTATCTCTTTGATCATAGTCACAGGCGGGCTGTCAGCTGCTACTCTTGGAACGAGTGAAGTATAGCTTCTATCTGTGAGGACAGAGACTAAACAATGACATCATGTTTTATCTCATATGAGACTTTCTCTGGGATTAGGACTATTCTCTTTATATTATGCTTTTTATTCTCATCACATCATTGCTTTTATTCTCTTCACATTATGATTATTTAAGCAATAGCTCACGACAGGACGTGGTCTTTGCTCATTGTATCACAGCTAAGGGGCGTGGTTCGGCCCGACACGGTTACCAAGTGTGGCAATATGAAAGAAAAATACACACTCTAATTTAAATAGTTTTTATTAGTAAATAATGATGTTCAAAATAAAATAGTCCCTCCGTTGCCTTCTGCACAAAACATAGTGCGAGGTGGTTGCTATGCAACAACACTAACAGCTAGCGAACATATTAGACAGAGAGCGTTGATCGATTATTTGGCTATTTATTTACATTAATGTGTATGTTGCTGTTTATTGTGCACCCACTGAAAAACTGTCCAGCATCAGTAGCATGGCTTACTTGGTCACTTGTATAGGTCGAGGTTGTTCGAGGCTGTTGCTTGGCGTGGCGAGGATATTGCTCCACTTTCTCGAGACTTTCCCTGAGATTGGGCTTCCAGTAGCTCTGGAGAGAGCTTTCGCACCTGTGGCCACTAACGGTCATAATTTCTCTGCTTTGTTTCAAGACCCGCATCAGAAAGCTTTTGAATGGTGGTACTTTTCCAGTTGGTCTACCTGCTCTTCACGTAGCTCTGCATGTCGTAGTTTAGGTGCTTTTTTTTCTGGAGATAGGCACTCCTCAATCCACTCCTCCATACTAAGTACCCCCCCGGAGGTCGAAGTTAATCTTAAATGTTTCCATCTCATGCTTTGTAAGTTTGTTTCGTAACGAAATTAATGCAAATATATTTATAAAACTGACAAGTCAAATCAAGCAATCTGATTGGTCGATAGCGTTTTTGCGGACCTCTTTGATTACAGATTTGAAAACATCGTTGCTTGCTTTAAAAGTAGCACAATTAATTATGTTAAACCTTCAAAAGTATCTAGATATCCCTGCCGTAATGCCAAAGGAACTGCACACTGAATATGTTTTGCCGTTTGATGTCTATGTCTGGACCGCTGCGTCAAAAGGAGGGCTTCTGCCCAGCTTCTGTCCCGTTACTTCTCCGCTGCTTTCTTGTTCCAGCCCAACGGTATACAGTTTTTCTCAGACGCGGAGGGATACTGACTTGTTGTGAAAAGTAACTTACAATTCTACCCGTGGTATACGCTCAGTATATCACGGCTAAGAACCAATCAGATTGCTTGATTTTACTTGTCCGTTTTATAAATATGAATTATACTCTTATGTATGTAGATAGTATAATAAATAGTGCAGAATATGACAGTTTAATGGTGGAGGTACAAACCCATGTTGATAGATGTCTTGTAATGTGCTGTTGAGGAACCTGTGACCCAAGATTTTCATTCATTGCATACACCGTAGTTTTGTATATGATATGTCAATAACCTTTGAAAATCTTGAAATCTTGNATTAATGTGTATGTTGCTGTTTATTGTGCATCCACTGAAAAACTGTCCAGCATCAGTAGCATGGCTTACTTGGTCACTTGTATAGGTCGAGGTTGTTCGAGGCTGTTGCTTGGCGTGGCGAGGATATTGCTCCACTTTCTCGAGACTTTCCCTGAGATTGGGCTTCCAGTAGCTCTGGAGAGAGCTTTCGCACCTGTGGCCACTAACGGTCATAATTTCTCTGCTTTGTTTCAAGACCCGCATCAGAAAGCTTTTGAATGGTGGTACTTTTCCAGTTGGTCTACCTGCTCTTCACGTAGCTCTGCATGTCGTAGTTTAGGTGCTTTTTTTTCTGGAGATAGGCACTGCTCAATCCACTCCTCCATACTATAGTAAGACCCCCCCGGAGGTCGAAGTTAATCTTAAATGTTTCCATTTTATGCTTTGTAAGTTTGTTTCGTAACGGAAGAAATTTAAATATATTTATAAAACTGACAAGTCAAATCAAGCAATCTGATTGGTCGATAGCGTTTTTGCAGACCTCTTTGATTACAGATTTGAAAACATCGTTGCTTGCTTTAAAAGTAGCACAATTCATTATGTTAAACCTTCAAAAGTATCTAGATATCCCTGCCGTAATGTCAAAGGAACTGCACACGGAATATGTTTTGCCGTTTGATGTCTATGTCTGGACCGCTGCGTCAAAAAGGAGGGCTTCTGCCCCGTTACTTCTCCGCTGCTTTCTTGTTCCAGTGCTTTTCAGCCCAACGGTATACTGTTTTTCTCAGACGCGGAGGGATACTGACTTGTTGTGAAAAGTAATTTACAATTCTACCCGTGGTATACGCTCAGTATATCACGGCTAAGAACCAATCAGATCGCTTGATTTGACTTTTCCGTTTTATAATAGACTTTATACTATAATGCTTTTTGTTTCTCAATATGATTCTTCTTTGTAGCTTTCTATACTTTAAACAAAATGTTATGTCTTTTGCTTTCATCATATTTTCTTTCTAGAATTTAAAACTTTATTTTCCAAATAATAGTGAATTATATATATAATTAATATTTTGTATATAGCCTTGAAATCACAAATGAGCTTCATTGGGCTTAATTTGTATAAAAGTATATAATTTGTGTAAATTGTAATGTATAAAATGAGAACTGTTCAAACTGTTTCTAAAATGAGGACGGCTTTATTCTCATCACATCCTCACCTTTCCCCCGGAGTTATTCTTGAAATCTCAGATGCGTTTGTTTATGGTTGAAAAGTGGTAAGATCTACCTCACGGGTATTCAGGAGAAACAGCTGATTCCAAATCAGAATGGATGAACACCGGGATGAGACCAGACCTCCTCTGATGTAAAAGCTTCTGTGGAGCTTCAGAACGAATGTGTGTGAAGTGTGTGTGTATCCGGTCTGTATCAGAGGTCAGAGGTCAGCCATTATGATGCAGGCGCCCCATGTCCTGTCGACATAGTTCATAGGAAAACATTGAAATGTATATATGTGAAAGCAAGATATATTTTTATGGTGTTTTTTTTACCATTTGTAAATAAAATTACCAAATGCATTCATTGTGTTTTGTGTCTAGTGAATGTGTGAACTCTGAAATGTTAGTTAAATATACAATATATGTATTGAAGGGGCAAAGAGAGCTCCAAAGTGCAGCTCAGACAAACACATCATGAAAAGACCCCCACCCCGGACACACAACAGTTAGAAATCAGAATAATTGCAAGTCCAGCAGAACTCATGGAGGATACACTTATCTTCATTATTCAAGCTTTTTCAGAGAAACTCAAAAAGGAAGCTTCAGTTTCAGTGTCCTGGTTCCTGCTGGCTCACGGTCCCGCCTACATACAGGATTACACTTAGTTCAGACACTGAAAACAACGGAACTTGACTTTAATGAAATGTATTATGTCAACAAATTACAGCCTGCTCTAACGGGTCAACAAGTGACTTTTGAACTTTGGGCTTTTCTCATCAACAGAATCATTTGGGGTTCTTGTGAGTGTCGTGTCATCAGGAATACAATACAGTGTGTGTTCATGGTGACGAAGACACATGTCACTTTAGTTCTTAATAACAATGGAGCTCTATGGCAAAAAAGGAAGACGATAATCAGGTTGTCATAAAAACACAATGGAATTTGGATATCAGAAGGCTTTTCCTTTCAAGTCTATAACGTGTTAAGGTCTCCTGGGCACCATACTAAATATGCGCTAGGTAGGCCTACACAGTAAAGGAAAACAACGTCCAATCATCAGTGTTTCAGTACTGGATGATATTAGTGTTTCATATTTATAAATATACTTTTTGATGGGTAAATACTTAATCAATTTTCCGGCAAAATCAGTGCAGCATAATAAAAAATGTCCAGATGTAGAGACGGTTTTCAGACAGGTTCAGATTCACCAAGCACGTGTTATATAATGGATTTGTGAACATTGGAAGCTTGTAATTATTTAATGATGATACAGTATTTAGCAAACTCTGCAAGCCATCACAGTGGACACAGCCTGCCTCTGAGCTGTCGTACTGACTGATGCATCCTCACAATAATCAAAAGCACTGCCATGCAAAGCACCTATCAGGCATCACTGCTGTATTTTATCATTAATGGAATACATTTATTTCACAACCCTTTTTTATTGAAAAAGGAATTCTGTGTAACAGTGATCTGTGTTGTTTCTCAGTGCTCTGAGTGTGGGGTCCTCATTGGCTGAGGGCTTGCAGATGTTGTGACTTCAGCAGATCCTAACTGGGGATTTGCACAGTTAGTGAGAGGAATGAAAAGAATGTCAATCCATTCCTCTCCTCACAAAAATGCTGTGGGTTCTTTTGTTTTGATTGAGCTGATAATCACGTCCAGATGTGTANAACTGTTAAAGGCAGGGTAGGTAAGAATGGAGAAACCAGCTCGAGTAAGCTAGAATTTGAAATTACACAACCGAAAAAAATCTGCCCCTTCCTTCAGACTTCCTTACAGAGCCCCTCCTCCAACACACACAAATGCGCACATGACCAATGAGGGCACGAGATAAGTTTGTTCACTAGATGGAAGGCTGACAGGCAGGTAGGCCATCCAATTATCTGGCGCGGGCCGGTGTAGACAATTGGACTTGCTTTTTACAGCGCTACAGCTTCCACAGATGAAATATTTGTATATATTTATTGTCAAAGCATTCAATGTATTCATTGCTATCGGGATGTTAAGAGCATTCCATGGAATATAACAACAAGTGTTTCTGAAGTGAATTACCTACCCTACCTTTTAACTTTAAGTTTTTTGGCACATTCTTTTAGTAGATTAAATATGAAAACATTATGGTAACGTTATACTTTACCGTTGCCCAGTACACATTTGTATTGAATAAAGCCTAAATACGTCTTAATACAACTCAATAGCAGCTTTGATATTGAGCTAATAGCTAACTTTAACTAGCTCTCCTGCTGATTGCAACATGGATTTGTTGTTTACACTGTAACATTAACATGGGCAGAAGGGCTGCATATCCTGGACATGTGATAGTGAGCTTAATAAAGTTCCTAATGTGAGTGAGGAGGAGGGGATTTGTTGAATTAAAGAGGAAGGGGCACCAGCAGACAGCTGTTAGCAATAGAGGAAGCTAAGGAGGAACGTCTGTGCTTTATGAACCGATAAGCAGAATTACAATTGATTTTATACTCTCAACACGTAAACAAGGCTCCGTTAGTCCTGAACCCCCCACAGTACTTATGGTACCAAACAGGCACT